CAGACTTGGCCCCCACTGGACGGGAGTGTGCCCCTCTCTTTGGCAGCTGGTCCGGGCACGTCCAGAACAGACCCTGAAGTGCAGTGCAGACCCAGAAGCTCCCATCTCCTGGCTGCCCACCAGGACCACCTCCTGCTAGGTTCCAGGCAAGGGTCCCAGGTAACAGGCAGCCCAGACCCTGTTGAGAGGGGCTCAAAGGCCACCTGGAGTTCATGAAGGGGAGACAAAGGTGAGGGCAGGTGCCCCCGGGGCTTCATGATACTCGCACACCTGACACCAGCTCACGTGGGCGAGGTTCCTAGGATTGTTTGGATGGCAGGAGCCAGCCAAAGGATGCGTGTGCCCCCTCCCCGTGCGGACAGGGAGAGTCCCTGGCTCCAGGTGGGCAGGGGTCAGCTTGGCCAAGTTGGCTAGGGCAGGGGAGGTGCTGTGGTGGGGGCCCACAGGTGCATGGAACCCTCAGGCCTGGGCCTGCTCACAGGTGGGATGGCGCATCTGGCCGCAAACCCCAAAGGTCTGAGACGAGCCTGCCCCAAGCATCCTGGGGGGCTGGAGGCACACCCCAAGTCTCATCCGCAGCGGAGGGCTCTCTGCGGCTCTGTGCCTTAGAGGCCTGAAGAGGACCAGGAGCTGCTGTGCCCATCAAGCTTGGTCACCGTCCAAGATGGAGCCTGATGCAAAGACAGGGGTTCCATTGTCACCAGCCCCCAAGGGGTCAGTGTCACCTGGTCTCACACTTCTGTACAGTCACCATCTGCCACACAGAGGCCAAGTCAGAGAGTGTGGGGCCCTGACCCTCCTGGAGCCCCACTGCTGGTGCAACAGACCTATCCCTCCCCAGAAGGCAGCATTGAACTCAGTCCTGGTGTCACCTCCCCGCCCTACCCCCCGTGCCAAGTGGCCAGGCCCAACCCATCAGTAACACACCTCAGCTCCTCTTCCAATGACCAAAGCCTTGGAATGAAGGGGGAGGGACATGGGATGACGTGGGGTGACACCACTGCCTTGGCCCCTTGGTGTCAGAGGCAGACCAGGAGGGGGGGCACTGACCTCCCACCACTCTAGTGAAGTCCACGCACAGTGTGAGGCCTCTGTTGAGGACAGCGACCATGCCCACGAGTGAGTGGCACCAGCCAGGCTTGTAGGGGTGACCCTGGGCTTCCCTAGGCCTGCAGCTCTGGCAAGGAAGGTGCCCTAGGAGGCTCAAAACTCCAAGAAGCTCTTTAGTCATCTGGGCACTGGGACATGTGTCCCAGCTGTGTGGCGAGTCTGACACCCCCCCCCCCCCCCTCAGGAGACCTGCCGCTGGGCCATACCTCCTGTGGCCTTGATGTCCGAGTCGGAGACTTGCGTGATGGAGAAGCGGGACCCAGGCGTGGGCGACACCGTGAAACGAGAGAAGGGGCTGGGCGTGGGAGGCTTGGGTGGTGCTGCTGGGGTGGGGTCTGCTGACCCTGAGGCCAGTGTGGTTGCCAAGGCCGCTTCAGCTGGTATCAGTGGACAGTCATTGTCCCACTTGAACTTGCCACCTGAAACACACTTGTCACTCAAGAATTCAGGCAAGGCATGAGGGGGCCCTCTCTGTTTCTGCTGTCCACTCGGGCCTACTCCCTCCGCTCTCCCCCAGCTCTGCGCTCCCCTCCATCTCCGCACTCCTCCCAGCTCCACGCTCCCCCACCTCCGCGACCCCTCTGCTCTGCCCTCCTCCAGCTCCATGCCCCCCCAGCTCCGAGCCCCTCACC